TGAATTGCATATTTTGTACGTTTATTTGGATCGGATGAGATTGGGATAAGCCTAATAAGCAATATGTCCCTTCGATAGCCTCGAATGAAATATATACTGCCAGCCTACCTATGATAGATAGATGTTACAAATACAGTGCGCAATTCATTTCATTGGCAAAACACCTTTTTCAATTCCAATTAACCCTCATGTTATTATTAAATCAATTTATTCTATATACCCATCACTTACACACGAGGTACACCGACTTAAGCTTACACAACAGGAGTTAATTTATATGTTATATTTATTTATTATCATGTGCAGACTTTATACTAGACTATAGTCCATAACCAAATATATCTTGTCATATTTACCTATTATGATAAGATCAAACAAAGAATTGGAGTATTATTGTTTTTGAGGATATGTGATGATATTGTGAGATCATATATAGATAGTGATAATAAAATATTAGTGGAATAATGGTAACTAGTAGAATTTTAAATGGACAATTAACTCATACTTATTATTATTATTATTGTCATTATAATTATCACTTTGATATGGAACCTTGTACAGAGGGAAGCACCAGCGGGCGCGGCCACCAGCCAATGCACAATTATATAATAAATAATATTATTAGTCAAGTCAATATGTTATACTCCATCTCTAATATATGCTTCTTCACTTCCATCGTCATCATCTTTTGAAAGTGCAGTACGTAGTTAAGTAGTGGCATGCAATATAATATATAAATGATATCCAAAAGAAGATATTGCACTCATTATTCCCCTTTGTCTGTAGCACAAGATAGGGCTCTGTTAGCACATATATATCCATTTAGCCCTTGTAATATTCTCATAATCTAAATTAATCAAACATGATTGTAAAAGATTATGCTTTACAGAAGTTGAAGCAATTCTTTTGTTCTTGAAGCAGAAAACACAACCTAGCTGGAGTATTTTATAGCCTCGTATCGTTACAGGGGGCATGGCACCTGCTTTTCGTGTAAAAGTATGCATTTATAAGATTAATATTAAGCATTAGTGGCATTGATTGAAGTGATTTAAGTAGTGTATGTTGGAATATGGATGACGAAAATATTCTTTATATATATATATATATATATATATACTTCAGTTTCCGTGTGGTTGGGTGTATCTCGTGCAGTTGTGCAGTTAAATTTGAGTCATTGATCCTGTCTAAATTAACGTCTAGAATTAACAATGATTAAAAAAACGGCGTGACAATTTGGTCTTTTTGCATCTAGGTCAAATTTAAGGTGTATGATTTTTTCTTTTTACGTTGGGTGGTTTTTGTGTTTAAGACGAGTCAATTGTTGAAACTTAAGGTGTGTCGGTGTAAAGCTTTAGGTGCGTGTTTTTCCTTTTTAAGGGGTTTTGTTTTCCTTCTTAATTTAAGGTGCGTCATTTGTTTGCTTAATGATGGAAAACTTAGTGCATGATAAAAGAGAAGATGGAATTGATTGAGGGGATTACATGAGAGAAGGTAAGTGTGTGTTTAGAAACTGAATGAATGAACTGATCAGTTCTAACAACAAAACAACAGAAAACTTATAAGCTAGATAGATGGAGGGAATGGCAGTTATAACTGCCAAAAAGGAGAAAAGACAATAAAGCCCTCAGGGCTGATTCTGATTCTTCTTTCCAGTGAGCTGAGCTGCTGTATGCTGATGTGAATGAATGTGCAAGGCTGAAGCTTGTTTCATCATCCCCCCGTAAGCTGGAGCATGAAGATCTTGAAGGCCCAGCTTATCATGGAAGACATCAAAGCTAGGTTTGGCCAGGGCTTTAGTAAAGCCATCTGCAGTCTGATTTTGAGAAGAGACTGCCAAGAGCTTGATTATTCCATCACTCACTTTTTGCCTAACCACATGACAATCAAGTTCAATGTGTTTAGTTCGTTCATGGAACACATAATTCTCTCCAATAGCAATGGCTGAGTTGTTGTCACAATATAGAGCCACAGGAGTATGAAATACTATTCTCAAATCTGCTAGCAGGTATAAGAGCCATTGAACTTCACATGTTGTTGATGCTAAAGCTCTATATTCTGCCTCAGAGGAGGATCTTGAAACAGTGGCCTGCTTTTTTGTTTTCCATGAGATTAAGGAGGCTCCAAGATAGATGCAAAAACCAGTAATGGATTTCCTGCTTTCAATACAATTTCCCCAGTCTGAATCTGAGAAGCCTTGCAACTTAACCTCTGAACTTGCAGAGTACAGTAGGCCTTTTCCAGGTGCTCCTTTGAGATATCTTAACACCCTATGAGCTGCTGTTAGGTGTGTATCCCTAGGTTTGTCCACAAATTGACTAAGCTGCTGGACAGCATAAGATATGTCTGGCCTAGTGTTGGTGAGATAGAGAAGTTTCCCAATTAACCTCCTATAGATTTCAGGTTCTTCAAGCAATATCCCATCAAGAGAAGTGAGTTTCTGTCCTGTGATTGCAGGGGTTTTGGCAGGTTTGGCTTCAAGGAAACCATTTTCTGCTAAGATCTCCATGGCATACTTCCTTTGGCAGATATTGATGCCAAGATGATTTCTGAAGGCTTCAATTCCTAGGAAGTAATTGAGATGGCCAAGGTCCTTGATCTTAAAGGCTTTATCCAACATTTGCTTCAATTCATCAATGTGGATGGAATTAGTCCCTGCCACTAGGATGTCATCAACATAAACCAATAAGGCCAAGAAGGAGCCTTCTGACTGCTTGGTGAAGAGAGAAGGATCTGCTTGAGACTGTAGAAAACCATTAAGCAGTAAGGCTTTAGTTAGTTTTGCATTCCATTGTCTACTTGCTTGCTTGAGTCCATACAAAGATCTCATTAGTTTGCAAACCTGATTAGGCTTGGCATTTGGAAAGCCTGGTGGTAGAACCATATACACTTCCTCCTCCAAATCTCCATGCAAGAAAGCATTGTTGATATCTAATTGTTGGACATCCCAATTTTTGGCAGCAGCCACAGCCAAAAAGGTTTTAATGGTGGTCATCCTTGCCACAGGAGAAAAAGTCTCAATATAATCCACACCTAACTGCTGAGTGTACCCCTTGGCAACAAGTCTAGCTTTGTACCTCTCTATAGAACCATCTGCTTTATGCTTTACTTTGTACACCCATCTGCAGCCAATGGGGGATTTTCCTTTAGGTAATTCAGTGAGGATCCATGTGTTGTTCTGAATGAGAGCTTCTATTTCCATTTCCATAGCTTTTCTCCATTCTTCATGCATTACTGCCTCTTTGTAGGACTGAGGCTCATGAGAAGAAGAAATAGAGGCTGCACAGAATTTGTGAGCAGGTGATAATCCTTGGAAAGAGATAACCTGGCTGATGGGGTGAGGTGAGCTTGTCTGGCCAGAGGCAACAGACTGACAGATGTAGTCTTGAAACTTAGGGGGAATGTTTCTCATTCTCATGGACCTCCTTGGTTGTTGCTGTGCATCATGATCACTGGGGCTATTGAGGAGGATTTCAAACTGTGGCTGATCACTGTGGCCATGCTCATATTGCTGCTCATCAACATTGTCATGATCATTTATATGGCTGTCTAAGTTAGGTTGTTGAGTATGGTCATCTGAGAGATGGTTATTCTGTTGATGATCAAGATGCTCATGTGTGGGCTGATCACTTCTGAATGTGGATCTGGGCAACTCATCATTTGTCTGACAAGGAACTTCATATCTCTGAACTGGTTTTAGAGGGTGGATATCTGCCTCCACAGAAATTGGCACCAAGGGTAGAGATGGATCAAACAGTCTTGGCATAGAGGTCTCTTGCTCCAAATTAGAACTATTTCTTTTAAAAGGATATGCTTCTTCATGAAAGACAACATCCCTGGAAATAAGAACAACTTTATCAGTCACATCATATACTATATATCCTTTTATATCAGCAGGAAACCCCAAGAAAATGCATTTCTTGGCCCTGGACTGCATTTTGTTCCTTCCCTATGATATGGTGGCAGCAAAACAAAGACAGCCAAAAGACTTCAAATGATTGTAATCAACACTCTTGCCATACATGACTTCAAAGGGGGTTTCTCCATCAAGGACCTCAGTAGGGAGTCTATTGATGAGATATGAGGCATGCAACACACAGTGGCCCCAGAAAGCATCAGACAGTCCAGACTGGAATTTCAGAGATCTAGCCACATTTAAAATGTGTTGATGCTTCCTTTCTGCTACCCCATTCTGTTGGGGTGTGTAGGTGCAAGATCTTTGGTGAATAATCCCTTTGTCATTGAAAAAGGTGTTCATGAAGAACTCAGTCCCATTGTCTGTTCTAACCACTTTGATCTTTGCACTGAACTGAGTAGAAACAAGGTTGTAAAAGTTTTGAAATATTGACTTAACCTCAGACTTATGTCTCATAAGATGTAACCATGTGAATCTGCTACAATCATCCACAATAGTTAGAAAATAATGTTCTCCTTTTAGAGATGCCACAGCAAAAGGTCCCCAAACATCCATATGTATAAGATCAAAGCACTTTTCAGATTTGGTAATGCTAACAGGAAATGTAGATCTTTTATGTTTGGCAAAATAGCAAGTGTCACATACAAAATCAGAAACAACATGAGGGGAAACAACTTTTATTCCTTTCAACATTTTCACTTTATTCATGGGATAATGACCCAACCTATTGTGCCATGTCTCAATGGACACACTACTACACAGAATCTCAGAGCTCTTTTCAACAGACTGACTTTTCTTCTTGGTGGGGGGATTGATCATCAGGTACAGACCATCCTTTTGCCTAGCCAAACCATCCACCATTCCATGATGGTCCTGAATTTTGCAATAGTAAGCTCCAATAATGATCTCATAGTTTGAATATTTGGTTAGCTTGCTAGCAGAGATGATATTAAAAGAGAAGGATGGAATGAATAAAGCATCTCTCAACAATATATTCATATGTAATCTGACATCCCCCATGTGTGTCACACTAACAGTTCCCCCATTAGGAAGTTTAACTAGGATCCCATGGACTGCATGATAGGACTCAAAATAATCCAAAGAGCTTATGGTCTGTTGCCCCTGAGTCTAAGATCCAATTATCAACAGAATTGATAGTATTAATAAGATGGAGATTAGAAACAAACTTGCCTCCATTTTGCTCCTGCATTTTGTTTCCAGTATTGGAAATGGCTGCTGCTGCACTGCTGAAGGAATTGCCCCTTTGATTTTGATCTTGCAACATGACTAGAAGTTTCTGAAACTGATCAGCAGAAATGCCAACATCTGCAATTTGACTAGCACATGCACTTGAATTCTGCTGTGAGTCCTGAGTCTGTTGAGTCTGTTTCCCTTTAGATTTGTAGCCTGGGATCCATCCAGGAGGGAAACCATGTTTCTTATAACACTTCTCAACAGTATGTCCAAGCATCCCACAGAAAGTGCACTTAGGCACATTTTTCCCTGAATTATTGTTAAATTTCTTCTTGTTATAGGAGGTTGATGCTGCTACAACAGCCTGCTCTTCTGCAAAATCACCTTGAGCATTCTGAACTGTATTAGCTTGAACTAATTCAAGATTCCTGGAACTCACAGAACCTTTAAGCTTCCTTTCCATCTTTAAGGACATATTGAGAACCTTTTCCATAGTGGGAATGGGATCCATAACCAATATTCCAGACTTGACATTCTCATACTCATCATTGAGTCTTTCCAGAAAACGAATTATTTGATCCTCCTCTTTTTCTTTCTGAATCTTACTCATGAGGGTACATGAGCACCTTGGCAAACATTCACACTTAGGAATAGGCCTCATAGCATTCATCTGAACCCATAATGCATTGCTTTTGGTAAAATATTCATTGATGGAGAGGTTACCTTGTGAGCATCTATAAATCTCATTCTGTAACTCTGTGATTCTGTGTGCATCCACTTGCGAATATCTCTTTTTAAGAACGCTCCAAATGTCAGCTGCAATTTCAAAATACAGAACTCCTTCTGCGATTGTGGGATTAATGGACTTGAATATCCATGAACATACAATATTGTTGCACCGCTTCCAAATAGCATACTTAGGATCTGATTCTCCAGGGCTAGCTATGCTTCCGTCAACGAATCCATACTTATTCTTGACCTCAAGGGCGATCTTCATGGATCTGCTCCAGGAGGCGTAATTGACCTCCGATAGTAGGGGAGAAACAAGAACAAGGTTCGGATTCTCTGTTATATGCAGGTACATGGGGTCATCAAACTCTTCCACTCGTTGATTACTGCTTAGACTTGTCAGAATCTGACTCGAAGTAGCCGGATCGGCGAAATCATCGTCTCCGTTTCCGTTCCCCGTCACGACTGCCGCAACGTAGCTCCGGTGACGCTCTGATACCATGATGGAAAACTTAGTGCATGATAAAAGAGAAGATGGAATTGATTGAGGGGATTACATAAGATAAGGTAAGTGTGTGTTTAGAAACTGAATGAATGAACTGATCAGTTCTAACAACAAAACAACAGAAAACTTATAAGCTAGATAGATGGAGGGAATGGCAGTTATAACTGCCAAAAAGGAGAAAAGACAATAAAGCCCTCAGGGCTGATTCTGATTCTTCTTTCCAGTGAGCTGAGCTGCTGTATGCTGATGTGAATGAATGTGCAAGGCTGAAGCTTGTTTCATCACTTAAGTGTCTCATTTTAATGCTTAAGGTGCATCTTTTTGTGTTAACCGGAAAGTTATCTTTGCACCTGATCCACCCTCTATATATAAAGGATGATACTAGTATATGTATGTACATATTATAGGGTCTAGTTGGAACATAGTATATATCAGACCTTATCCCATTATATTATCGTGTCTATCACAGTACTCCTATTCAACCACTATATAAACACCTCATACTTTCTCCTAGCTTCGTGCGACTCATTCACAAAACCAAAACCAAACACCGTACCAGACTATCACTCTAAACTGCAAATCGAGGATTCATACATATATATATATATATATATATATATGGACGGAAAGCGCAGAGGAAGAGCGGGATTCCTTAACGGGAAACTGATGCGGTGGTCTCTGTATCGAGCAACCACCAGCTGCACCAAGGCGAAGCCGAATCAAGGCGGTTACACCAAGATGCATCAGACTCACAAAAACATCATCGTCAATCTGCAGGATCATCAAGTTACTCCTCAGCTACTTCCCACTCATCACGCCACATCGGTTCCCTACTATCCTCCCACAACGGACTACATCGCTAACAACTCCGCCGCCGGCTCTTACAGCGCCACCAAAATGGACGCCGTCTACGGCGCTATTGCAGTCGATGAGGAAATTGATCGCAAAGCTGCCAATTACATCGCATCTGTTCGGGAGAGGTTTAGGCTTGGCTATTAATTTAATTAAACTCAACATTATATTATTACTACTTACCACCTTAACTGCAACCAACCTAAATGATGATTAATTACTAATTATAGCAGGGGCATGCATATGCATGTAGTGATGATTATAACTACAACTAGTACTTACGAACTAATAAGTAGGCATTCAACCACGGAGGGTTTTATTATATTGCATGCATGGCTGCTTATTATTATATTGAAGACCAGTGAAATAATCTTTCTCAAAATAAAATTTTTAATTATGTGCGTGTCTTTCTCATATTTTCGAATCAACTGTGTACATATCAAACAAATTGAAACACTTGTTGGAATATATGAAAAATCAAATTTTAAGTTTCACTTCAATAATATATTAGTTTTATGCATAATGACTACCATAGGAATGAAATTGTAATTTGACTCATGGTGGGTAAAACCCTAGCCGAAAAATGACCACAAGAGATAAATCAGTCTAGATTGATCATAACTGACCTGTACAAACAGAAAGACCAATGGGTAACACGCGTAAGGAGTGAAACTTGTTACGTTGTGATTACCAAGTCAATAGCTCACAACTTGAATGTGATTACCCCATAATTAGTTTTTTAGTAGTTCTTAATGATTGGTCAGAGGTGATTTTGAAAATTTGTACACGATGCCCGTTTTGATTGGTCTTGAGTTTGTATATATAATCCACATAAAATCAACTTGACTCAAACCAATTTGGTTGGCGTGAGTAGTCGTGTATTCTTGTCCTTTAAAAGAGGTCCCCCTCTTGTATGAAAAAATCAATCTGCCTCAATCGTTATGTGGTGGAACCGTGTTCACCTTTCAAGGTGGACATGGTTCTATGTTCATAATTACTGAACTATATGTTCATAATTATAAAGCTATATATTCATAATTATTGAACTCTATATTCACAATTACAGAACTCTATGTTCTTAATTACTAGACTATATGTTCATAATTATAAAGCTATATATTCATAATTTTTGAACTTCATATTCACAATTATTGAATCTCAATATTCATAATTACAGAATTATATGTTCATAATTATGTTCACAACTCTATGTTCATAATTATAGAACTTGCTGGTCCCGAAATGGTGGCGAGAAGTCAAGAGGGGGGGGGGGGGGGGGGGGGGGGTGAATAGACTTCTCTAACTTTTTCAACTTCTTTTGCAAACAACACTTTGGTAACTTCAACTCTAAGTAACAAGCATAAACAAGTATAACAACTTAGAGTGTGCACAGCGGAAATGTAACGGCAAAGTGTTATGCTTTAATTGTGTAGTGCTTAAAGAGAGATTCTATACATGCATCACATTAGAAACACTTGATATAGATTAAGGATGATGTTTGTAAAATTTCACTTGCATGCAAACGAGAGAACTATCAAACCTAGACAGATAAAGATACGCGATAAATCGTAACGGGTTAGTTCACAGATGATATAACCATGCACGAAATTAAATGAGCAGTAAGTAAATAGAGAGAGAGATTTATAGTGGTTCAGAGGTGGTGTAATCCTCCTAGTCCACTCTTCTCCTTTCACTCCAAGGAGGAAATTCACTATTCTTCGATCACCCAGATACAATAGTGAATAAGTGCCCAGCGACACTTCTCCGAGTGCTTCGCACAAAGCTACACTGCACCAAGGTTTTTCGCAAGCTCCTCTTGTTACTCCGCCTTCCCGAGCACTTCGCACCAAGCTGTACTCCTACACCACGAGAACTACGCACCAAGCTACGCTCTCACCGGGTTTTCACAAGTTCCCCTTGTTACTCTGCCCTTTACAACCGAGTGCTACGCACAAAGCTACACTCCAACTGGGTTTTTCACTCTCTCCAGTTACTCTACCCCTTTTCTACACTCTGTAGAAGATTTACAATAGAGATAAAATTTTCTCTCACTCAGACTTGAATTTAATCGTGTATAGCTCAATATATTGCTTCTTGGCTGATTTGAATATTGCTTGCTTTTCTCTTGCTTGTATATCTTAATTTTTCAGCCGTATTCAAGTCGTGCTTGTCTTCAAGTCTGCTTGGGCATTTTATAGCCAAAGAAAGCTATTTGCCCGTTGATCAACTTTCGATCTTGATCGTCCAATTTGAATTGTAGTTGATCAAATAATTTTGCCAACTTGGTCTGCAAAGTCATTTCGCCGTCTGTCAGAAGATTTTGAGTAATCTTGTCGTTGCTCTCCTTTAATCTGACAAAGCTTTTCTTTGGAATGGGTAGCCTCCAAATTTGAATTTCTCTGGCATGACTTTTGTTAAATTATTGATCTGATGTGCCAAGTTGATCAAATAATTTATCTGCTGATTCTTGCTTGAGTATTAAAAATATTAATGTTTCTGTCTAACTATTTTGTCATATGATATTAATGTTTCTGTCTAACTATTTTGTCATGGCTCCTTTGATGATGTCATGTCCCACCTTATATCATGAACTAGTATCTATCATGATCTTGATATCATGTTAGGCTACTATCATGATCTTGATATCATGTGTTCATAAAATTACTTCGAGTGGGAGTCAAACTATGGATCATTTGGTTTGCTTTGCAAGACTTTTCCCATCTCAACTAGGTAACCAATTAATATATTTCAAGACTTAAATTCTTTTGTCTTATCTCTTCACGTGGGTTTCACAAGCCATACCACAGTGTGATGTCATCATCCGATATATCTTACTATCTAGCATTTCACTTTACACCAAAAATGCTCCCAACAAGAACTGAACTGTGAATCATCTCGCATTAGGCATGCTTCAATAAGTCTTCTACCATATCATCCATCTCAACCTTTGATAACTTAATGCTTAATAAGTCTTCCTTCATCCATATGCTTCTTGAATATTGTCACCCCACAACACTCCAGCTTGGTACCAAGCAACGCATTCTTCAAATGATCTTCCATCTACCATCTCGTTGCTTGAGTGTCCAAAAAAGGTCTCCAACTCACGTACAAGTTTTATCTTGTTCTCATCATATATTGATCTTGAAGGTGATGACTTTTGGCATTCTTGTTGACTAGGAAAATCCGAACTTTGCGCGGTCACAAGATAATCCATAATCCTTCCTCTTCCTCTTCCTCTGCTTTGCACCTTTGGTATAGGTGAGACTCATCTTGGTGCTCCTGGAGGTCGAACAAGCTCAACTAGTGGCCGTTGTGAAGACGGTCCAATCAAATGATTTACCAAATGACTTGGGGCTCCTCTAGCTCTTTCCCCCTTTTCGGCAGCATCAATATAGCTTTGAAAACTCACCGAAGCTTTGTCTTGGCTCTTTTGGATTCCAATTAAAAGATCATTATTCACACCAATTTGGTGTAGTAGAGCTTTCAATTGATTTTCCACCAATCGTAGCCTCGATTCACAATCCGTTCCTTTCTTTCCTAAGTCAAAGAACATCTTCAAGACTTCCCTATTATTCTCTTATTGTTTGGTGGACATTGTGGCCATATCGCCTTGCATTGATCCTTGTCCAAGTAACAAGGATTCGGCCCTTTCATAAATTTCCTTGTGAAAGTAATCTAGTTTGGTATCAACATTACCAAATTGATTGTGGACTTTCTCAAATTCTTGAAAGACATCTCCTCTCAATTCTTGAATTTCCCTACGTACATCTCCAACAATACTATCTCTTATGGAATTAATATCAATGGAATGAGAATGTACCTCCTTGTGTGACTCATGTGGATGTCTCGGCATGAACGAATTAACCCGCTCCGGTGCTTCCACGTATGGTGTATCCTCAAGACACAAGGGCTCATCAAGAGTAGGGTCCATTGGTTCGGCAGTGGCAACATTAATCGGCTCGGCACAACTTAAAGGCAAAGGTGACACTTCAATTTGCAACACATTCTCTTGTGCATCCATTCGGCTTTCATGCTCCCTTAAATCACCAATATTTTCTTCAATTACCAAAGTTGTAGGATTAATTGTTCCTTGAGCATTCTCCAAATTTTCATTCACCGAATTTGTCACATCCGTAGCCGTGTGA